GCTCTGATAAGAAAGCTTATTATGAAATAGCCTCCTTAAAATTGCATAAAGACGTCACATTTTCGTATTTTTATAGTTAATTCCTATAATTAAATAAATATAATTGCATCGAGAACTTTATGTAAATGTGACAATGATAAAAACGTATACATTTCATAATATCCTATACTGCAAACAATAATAACCTATCATTAGAACAATAGTTAAATGTATATGTTTCAAAAATATTACAACTTTTGTCCAAAATGTCTTATAATTGACTGAACGATAGTTTAATGCTAAAACAATAATTGTTAATAGAATAAAGAATAATAGTATTCCATTGAATCGTTAATGATTTTCAAAAGAAGCTTATAATTAAAACAATGAAATGTTAATTTTAATTTTCAATAAGAAAGTTATGTTTGAACCGAACAAAGTTATATCCGAGGAATACTGAGCATAGTATGTCATTGGTTGAATAGGCATATAATTGGGAACAGGATAGCGTTTTTTCAGTGAGTAGAAATACATCAATTTGGTAAAATACCTGAAACTGTTCCAATTTTTTTTTTTAATTTGCAAAATACAGATAAGTACACCAGGACATTGTTTCCGTCAATCCTCTGCTGTCATTTTGGCTAATATTAGGGCAGATTTAATTGCAATAAAGAGACATAGGTGATACAAATCTTCAAACGTTGCTGAATGGTACCTACTTATATAGAGGAATCTTTTACCAATAAATTAGATATAGCAGATAAAATATTTAGAGGGAGAGAGACAGAGAGAAATTTGCTAATAGTAATAATATTGTCGAAGAAGAAATAATGTCGCTGACTTTTCGAGTAAAGTTCAGCCAATGTTTAATAGTTGTACACACTGCGACATAATTATAAATATTTATAAATAAATAGTTATAATAAGCGTTTAATTTGTGGAATACGTTCAATAAATGTTATATTTACTAAATAATGCATTTTTGATGCGAGTTTCTTTGCCTTTGCGTATTTATGAGTATTTATACTGTATAAAATAAAATATAAAAAATCAATACGGGAAAGTTAACTAACTAAAATACTAGCATACGGTATTTTGCGGTCTGATATTAGGCCGAAAAGTACACATTTCCGAACGATTTCAGAAAAAATAATCTCGAGGATACTTAATTCCTTAACTTATTTTTTGTCCTTTGGATATAAGTTACCAATGTTACTTAGCATCGAAGTCTCCAGCCACAAGGGATGTCCCAATAAGATTGCGTCTACATGGAATTATCATAGAATCTTGGAGCCAAAAATTGCTTCCTTTAGCGGTTAGAGAGCGTCAAAGTTGACAATATTAGTAGGCAATTAGATATTCAACCAAACATGCTGAAAAAAAGACTATTTGTAAGTTGGTGTCCTTCTGTTTTTAGGTGAATTCTGATTTTCGATAATTCAGTAAGTTGTGGTGTTCAAAAATTACTTATTCTAAGAACCTGAACTATTTATAAATGCTAATCTATTCGCCTGTGGCAATAATTTAACGCCATTGGATATAAAACATTGACCTTCAAGACAGTGAAGGTATATTTATCGACGAATAAGAAAACAATAAACGAACTTAATATTCATACTTAATTTTTTTCAATTGTAATAATAAATTGCCCAAACCATAGAAGACTAGAATAGCTTTAGAAATATAACGAGTTATTATATTTGTATTAACATATCTGGGTATAATACATAATTTAATAGGTACCTCAAATATACACTGTATTTTCTACACAACTTCTAAATAAATAATTATGAAAAACATAGTTTGATATGGTATAATATCTGAGTGTGAGATTTTACACTCATGTGAGTGAAATAGCAGCTAAAACTAGCATCAAATTAAAGCAGTTGTCTAAAGACAACTTATAAGTCACTTTAACAAAAATAAACTAAATTGCATATCATAGAATTAAAAAATAAATAACAACGTCTCACACACAACTTAGTATAATATGAACCTTAATTAAATCAAATAGGATCGAATAGGCCAGGAAATATAGAATTGGACACGACTTTTTGTGTCGGCAAGCTGAATTTATCCCTATAGATGCTAAATATTATGTACAATAACATATTAGTTTCCACAGTCATATAATTGTATAATTTTTACGTAAATTAATGTTTTTCACTTACTTTTTTCCGTTTATTTCCACGAGAAAACAGTAAACTACTTTTATTTTCGTCTTCAAAAGACCTACAAAACTAAATATAATTAAAAATTAAAAAAATTAATTATTCAACTTACCGATTCCAGATTTCGTGTGATTTATTAGACAGTAATAAGGAATGAAAGGATGCGATGCCAAAACGTAGTTTATAAATGTTTAATTCAAAAGTCATAAATAAACTTCTTCTGTTTATAACTTTTGATCTCATCAATATTTTTTGACGCTCGAGGGCAAGTTTTGTAGGTCTTTTGAAGACGAAAAAAAGCACTTTACTGTTTTTTCGTGGAAATTAACGGAAAAAAGTTATAAGCGAAAAACTTGAATTTACGTAAAGATTATACAATGAACCACCCTGTAAACAATCTTCCTCCCATTTTTATGACAGTGGAAACTAATATGTTATTGTACATAATATTTAGCATCTATAGTGATAAATTCAGCTTGTCGAAACAAAAAGTTGCGAAATAGTCATTTCCCAGCTTATTTTCCTGGCCTACAAATTTAGGTACCTACCTATCTTAGTATAAACGACAAATATTTGTTATTAATACATTTTTTAAATCGAAATTGCATTGCTAATAGTGAATTTCACTCTTAGAAGTACGATTAACCTAAAAGCTTATATATTTTAACTGAAATCAATAATTTAATATTATAGATAATACTTATCGGTAACATCGTAGTGACCACTGAATCTATTGTTCTATCTTTGGAATAATCTCAAGGCGATCTAATCTTCAACTAAATGTTGACGTTACCACCATTGACAAGAAATGGAATAACAACAAACGCGAAAATAAAAAAAAAACTTTAAGCAACACAGCTTATTGCGTTACGATTTAATAACTGTTACTTTTTATGGTAAAAATTGCACGAGAAAAAAATAAATATTAATTTATTGAAAATGACTTGGACTTTATAAAACAGCTGATTATTGTCAAGGTGGATTTAAGTACAGGTTTTTTAGAGCGACACCCTGGCAGCTTTTATTCCATAGGCGTCGAATCCGACGATTAAATAAGAAATAAAATTAAATTTTGATTTAAATGAAAATAAAGATAATTTTCTATTTATAACATATGATTTAGTTTTGTATGTGAAATTACGTTTACAAATTTATTTCGACATTTGTAACGTCATGACCCTTCAAACCGACAAAATTTGGCCGACCCTTTAACCCAGAAAATGTAATTTTCCGAAGGATTTAGGTGCGCTGAATTCAAATCCGAGGTTCTTTCTCAATTGGCTCTGGTTTTCGAGATATCCTAACTTAAAAGTGCCAAAATCGCAATTATTAGACATATTTGAGGTTATGTTAAATTCATCGCCACCGGGAAGTAGAGATCTCACATGTTTTTGGGGTTGCTGATCATGAATCTGAACTCCAAAATACTCTATCACGTCAAATTTTGCAATGAACTTTAAAAAATTAATAAAAATTCGATATATGGCCTATATTTTACGCGTTATATCAATCTGGAAATAAATTTACAAGCAAAAGAGGCTAATACGCTCAATCCTAAGACCAAAACCCATAAGGTTTGTGGTGCTGTGTTATGAGTATATTCAAAACTCAGGAAATAAGTTAAACTACTAAAAATTTCAACATGCGAATTCTCAAAGACGAAAAGTGATATCGGGATAAATCCAAGTGCGTTTTAAAGAGTGAGTATAGTACTTTAAGACACCATTAATGGATTGTTGGGTGACCATAAATGGTGTCGAAAGCAAACATTTTTTTGCAATTGTCAAGAATCTTGATTTTAAAACAAAAATTGTTGAGTTGAGATTTGTCGCAAATACATATTCTTAGACCAAAACAAGCACAAAGTACAAAATCTTTTGTTCAGTACAGAAATGGAAACTAGTTGTTCAGGTAGTACAGCAATAAATTTGTAAAATTCCTAAGCTTACATTGTTTCTAAATCAACCAAGTAAACGACTTATAGTTTTGGTTGGGAATTTTTCCCAGCAAGAATACAATAAGATCAAAATTACACAAGGTTCTGTTTCACCGGTTGTGATTGTTGTAATTTTTCACGAAATTCTATTCAACCTATCAGCTATGACATTATCTCGGGCCTAGACGTAACAGTTTGTCACTGTTCATGGTAAACGAAGTATTAATGTTAGTGACGCCAAGAGTTAGGCAACATTCCTTACCATTATCAGTAGTGGATGGTACACATCAACAACAGTTGGCATAAGCATACATAACAATTCAAGTAGTACTATAACTGTATCTAAATTTATTAAACAATGGCACATAGGAATTGCAATCGTTTGTGCTTATGTATATAATTATTATAATAAGCAGCATAAATGTAATATGGCAAATTTTCAAAATTACTTCTATTTATTCTATTGACTGAAATGCAAAAAGTTTACTGCTTTCAAAAACAATGTACTTCTGACAGTTGAAAGCATTAACATATTTAATATTTTTGTTGGAAGTAGCAGAAAGATGTTATTTAAAAAAATAGTGATAATAATTATTTAAGTAACCACTTTGATTTATGAATGAAATAAAACAGTTCAATTGCAAGTTTTCTGAAATATGCTCTTCATTATTTTGAAAACAAAGGACAAAACAAGAGATTTTTTTTGTTTATTTGCTGATGTTTGCTCAAACATATTGTATAAGCTGCACAGAATGAAGAGATCAAAATCTTACGATACCTACGTTACTGGATATACTCCTTCCTCGTTCCTTGTCCTGAAAAAATTGAAGATAAAAATCGAATCAATTGTTTTTTTTACTTATTTTAAAACCTCCAGAAATGTAAGCAATCCATGCCCCTGAAATTATTCCATACAGTTTGTCCCCTCTAAAACTGACAGGTATAAATAAACAAGTGAAGTGCGGTAATATTCAATTTTTCTGAGTTCGCAATAAGTGCTATATCACACACAAAAATGAGGGCATACGTTTTAGCCGTGTTCGTCGTCCTGGTTGGCGCTGTGGCCAGCCAAAAGTACACCACGAAATATGACAACGTCGATTTGGATCAAATTATTAAGAGTGATCGTCTTTTGAAGAATTATTTGGACTGCATGTTGGAGAAAGGCAATTGTACACCAGACGGTCAAGAATTGAAAAGTAAGTAATAGTTTTATGGGCGCGGTACATCTTCCTTTTAATTTTGAACCTTGTGTTACTCCGCTGCTATAAGCCTTTAGAATTAATTTTAAATTCCAATGTTCAAAGATGATTAAATGATAATAGTAAGCGAGTTGCTATGCTATACGCAGTACCTACTTTGCAGTATTTAAAAAGGTAATCGATTTTTTTTTATCATAGTCTAATGAGCAAAATAAGTTTTAATTTATAACAGCAATCCTTAAATAGCAGAAATTATTTAATTAACTCATTGCTACTAAGTTTCTTCTTTCTTATAGTAATTAAAATGAAAAATATAAAAGGTAATCTCCTTGAAAATTTGCAACTTTGTTTAGTGATTTTGTTATACACGTCTGTTGTGTATAAGGGGATCAGTAATCTCTTTTTATTGCGGTTTACTTCTTTAAGATACTTGAATAGAACAAAATTAATGCACATGTAAGTTTTGAAGAATCAGAATATACAATTAGAAAATCAAAAACGGATATTTTTTTGAGAAAAGAAGTTTAACGGCTAGATCGTATTACAAACATTTCGGTGAGTCATTTGTTCAACTTCGGGTTTTACCAGAAATCAATTTCCTAAGGACTTATGTTTTACTAACTTCGTATAAATATAAGTAATAGTATTAACATTTTTTAAACGAACTAATCGAAAAAATAGAAATATTTATAAAAACTATAAACAAATGGATACCTCAACAATAATTTTGAAATTTGGAATTATAAGCTTTGGAAAATTGAAATAATTTTTATTTAAAGAAAGCAAGATTTACAACTATGTAATAAACAATTCATATAAATATTTGATGTCAGTGGTTCCATTTGAGAAAATAAATGTTTTTCAAAACACGGTTTCCAATTTTCTGAAACTGAACATACTAAAAATAAAAATATATGTTTTGTTGATCGTTAAGTTTATAAAACATCAAAACTATAACATATTAAGTACACTGCTGGAATTAAAAATACTAATAACTAAAATATAAGAGGTTGATCAAAAATAAGTACTGGTGAAATTCCAGTGAATCCGAAAGTTAAGCAAATAAATGTCTATCGTGTATCATTTTCAGCAAAAAATATAGGATGTTTACTTAAAAAAACTTTTTTTTTGGTCTTTCAAATTAATGTTAAATTGGTTTTCTGGTTATATATTCTAATTCCAAATATCTCAAGAGTAAATAAGCAGATTGTAATAAAAAGAAAATTGTGTACATTTTCTTCTTCATTAGTAGGCGCTGTTTAGATAGACCATTTTTTATTTTTAGTTTAGATAATTTATTAATGACTAGATTGACTATTTCATTTATTTAAATATATTTTTTTCAAATACATGACTTAATTTAATGAGAATTTAAAAAGAGTTAGAATTGAATAGAATAATGTTTTCCTTCTCGTATCAAGTAAAATAAAAATACATGGATTAAAGAATAAAAATGGTGCGGTTATAAATAAATGTAGCGATTTTAAATCTTTTGTTATTATGAAGTGAGGATAAGGAAAATGGATACTCATCTGGTAATTTCTATACCTACATAATATATACAGGGCGTCCCGTTTATGTTTAAAAATAACTTGTGTGCAAGTTTCTCATGGAAAAACATTTGTTTTCTTAGACGCCTTATTTTCGAGATACAGTGTGTTGATGTTGTTACTTTCCAAATGGTTTCCCTTAATTATCTTTAAATCGGCTAAAGATAAAAATGTCAAAATTTGTACACGAGTAAACATCAACTGTGCGTTAAGAATAATGCGCAAACGGTTTCTTTCTGAAAAGCAGTGTCGCCGATACAGGTACTTGAAGGGGTACAAATCGAAGAAAAAATATGTTAAATGTCAAAATTTATTACATTGCTAAACGGTTCTGTAGACTCTAAAGGATACTACAAAAAAAGGTATACTTGTCGAAATTCGGTAGCATGTACCATTTTCAAGAAAAATTAAGTTGCAATTGAAAGAGGTCCTTACCATTGAATAAGCTGAAGACATTTAGCTATCAACAGTATATGTATTTAAGGCTATGATTTTAATTTCTTACGTACCTATCACATGAAACAGTTAAAATTATTTATTTTATTAACTAAAAAAACAATTAAAAATTTATTTTAAGTTTTAGTTTGTTGTAAACTAACATTTAAAAAAGTAAATCAAAATAAACAGATTATGGTAATTAATTAAATAAATGTGCAAACTCGAAATACTACAGTAGATTCTGACATTGTCCCCCATTTCCTTCAATACAACTTCATTTTTCTCGAAAATGGTACATACTACCGAATTTCGAAAAGTATTCCGTTTTTGTAGTATGCTTTAGAGTTTACAGAACCGTTTAGAAATGTAATAAATTTTTACTTTTAACATATTTTTTTCGATTGTTCCCCTCCAATTACCTGTATCGGCGACACTGCTTTTCAGAAAGAAACCGTTCGCACATTATTCTTAACACACAGTTGATGTTTACTCGTGTACAAATTTTGATATTTTTATCTTTTGCCGATTTAAAGATGATTAAGGAAAACTATTTGGAAAGTAACAACTTCAACTCACTGTATCTCGAAAATAGGGCGTCTAAGAAAAAAACTTTTCATGAACTACCCCTATTATTTTTCCATGAGGAACTTGCACACAAGTTTTTTTGAAACATGAACGGGACATCTCGTATAAATAACCCAGTCAACTACACGAAATAACTTTTCACAAAATTTTTACTTTGTAATCTGGAATGCTCATATTTGAATAAGTTAGAATTGTCATATAATTATTTCAAATTATCATCTATTCATTTGGTAATTATTGTCTCCAGTATTTTATGAAAATGTGCGACCGTATCTAAATCAACTCCAATATGTATTTTTTTTCATCAGTACTTTTATTCAAACAATGACTGCTGTAATATATTTTATCTAAGATTTAATCTTAAACTCTTCGAGTAGAATAAAAAAGTCGTCATAAAATTCAATATTTCCGTATTATTATTTCCTATTTTCTTACACAAAAAAAGTTAATTAAAAGCACAAGGTCAAGATTATATCTTTCTGTTACAATTTTAGACGCAATAAATTCTATTAACAAATTTAATTCTTCGTTTTTATATATTTTATTAGATTTATATCGAATTATTTATTCAAAAATGAAATATATACATATAGGTACATAATGATTGTATATGACTTTATGAACAATATACTTGTATAAACATATAAGTATAAGAAGGAACATTTTATTAATTCTAGCCTGCATAGACATTATTGTCTTAATAGAGGACTTACAGAAAAAATATTTAGTATAAATGTCAACATCGTATTAGATATAAATAAAATAGGCAACAGATGTTTCATATGTAAATTAGTTTTGTATCGCTTCCGGTTTAAGGGCCCCATATTCTTCAAATAGTGTTTTCCGCAAAGACAAATAATTTCAAACATTTAATAACTGAATAATCTAAAGCTTATCAAATAATAGGAATGTTATGTCATGCCATCTGGGTATTTTCAAAGACACCGCAGTAAAACGAATAAACAGGTGCAAAAAACGATCAAACCATCAAGGTTTTAGGTACTGAAATCTACGAAAATACTAACTTTTTTATATATAATTCCACATATAAATATTCTTATAACATTTACTTGCTTAGTCCTACATATAAAATTGTTTACTTTTTTTTATAAGTACGTGAAAATAATTCTTAAAATGTGGGGTAAGAATAACAGCAAACGCATGTTTTACAAACGCTATTTTTTAGTTATTATTTTATTTGAGTAAATTTAAATGGTAACAATGAATAAACAAAACGTCAAGGATTTCATTTTTGTGCTTACTTTTGTTCTACACGTTTTACTTTTAAAGATTTCAGTACCTAAAAACGCCAGAAATTTCACTATTTCTCGGCCGGGAATATGGCCACCTTAAGCGCAAGTTGCCATAATTTTTAAATAAAATTGAAATATTCTATGCACTGTTCGATATAAAATTACATTTTAAACAATTTGATGTTACTTTAGTTAAAATATATTTCATCAACTTAATTTTTTCTTGTTATTCATCCAGTGCCTGGAAATTAGCCGCTTCATTTTATACTATAATTTATCAGAAAATTGGAAAAGCAACCTCTACAAAGATAATAGAAAAATAAAATAACAATTGACTGTAACTATAAAAAAATTATTCAACATTTGAAAATATTGGTGGCATTATAATTAAGCAAAATGATACACGCAACAATACTTACATTATTAGATAGCAGCCTATTTACATACCCTTAACTATTTATCTATTAACAATGGGTGAAGTTAAATAAACAGAATTTGCCATGAAACGGTAGCAAATATGAGAAAAGCCATAGAGACAATTTTTGACAATTTTACATTAAAAAATAGTACCAAGAGAAGGACATGTCCTCAAAGTTCGTCGACTTAATCCTGAAACACTGTATATTAAGTACTTGTACAAACTTTAAAGGGTAAATCTTTGACTAATTTTAAGATTAAAAGTTCATATGAACATGGGTTCGCAACGGCTTGGTTTTGTTTGGAATTTTGATTATATTGTTCAATTACATGGCAATTTCACGAATTTCGGGAAACTGGTAGTATTGATGATGAGAAACTCAAATATTTACTTAGTTTTTTATTTAACGTTACATGGCGCCACATACAGTGTTGTACCTGGATTTAAATAACCTTAACTTTTTTGTGTCGCACTGTATGTTATTTTGCTGAAAGCAGCCGTTTTGTAAAAAACGAGTTTAAAGTTAAACCTATACTGGAATAAGATGAATCATTAAGAAAAACAAATGAAAAAATGTGTCTTTTATTGACTATTTTATTTAGATCATTTATAAGACTAAAACTAGACTACTTCTACAAATAACATTTAGAATAGGTAATTGCTGAAATAAACATTTTTTTGGACGCTCTGTATCTCAAGAATCAAGCCACTGCGGACTCATATTCATATGAAGTTTTTATCTTAAAGCTAGTCACTATTTAAGTACTTAATACACACCCTGTATAATGAGAAATGTATATTATTTACAATCGTGTCAAAAGTGGCAGTTTTTTGCATAATTTCCAGTGTAAAAGTTGGCTTTTATAAGATTCTGCACAATAAAAGTTATTGATAATTTCAGTGAAAGCACCTGTTGGTAAAAACGTTAGGATTCTTTTCATTATTTGTTTTCAATAATGTGTATATCTACTTTGCAATTAACACTACTTTCAATAAGAATTCTAAGCAATTCTTTCTCTCGATGAAGTAAACAGTTAATATACTACTAATAAGTAGTCAATGGAGTTGTTTGAGATTGCTTCTTTAGCTGGCTTTATGAACAAAATCAGGTTTGATATCACAATTTTAATTTGAACTGATTCTTCAATGTAAGATTCTTCCCCTGTCAATAACCTCTAGCCACCACGTCTCTTCAACTTTAAAACACATTCTCCTGATTCTACATCTTCGCTTGTCTAAAATTATGCCCCAAATATTGCTGAAGATAGGGAAACCCAAGATATCCAGCAGTCCCAATAGTTATTTTGCCAATACCCAATGATTGAACATAACATTTTCCATTACGACAGCTAACAAACAGTCGATGGTATTTTGCCACTTGTTAATTTAGAGGCCGCATATTTTATAAATTTAAATTATATTTTTCAAGTACCTCGTTTATTGGTTTTCACTATCAACATATCTTTCACATATCTTCAACAATATCTTCAACATATCTTCAACATATCTTCAACATATCTTCCACCTGACCAGCTCCTATTTTATGACACTCATCGTCTTTTATCTATGCATCAGCAGTATAAACATCTGTAATCTGAATTTAGAAAGTAAGTACTATTTTGAAAAAGATCCATACCGTCTTAATCGCCATTAAACAGTTTTAACTTGATATTTGAATTCAATCTTTTAAGAACAATACTATTTAAACCATACAATATTTCAAGTAAAGCAGTTTATTAGCAGTCTTCTTGCAATATCGTTTCCTTGAGGTAGCCTACTAACGACTGCTTAATTTTTTTTATAACAATGTGGTCAAACTCCTCACTCAAGTCTTTAACTGAGCCGATTTGTGCAATAAGAAACGACAAATGTAAAAGCTTGTGTCTAAAGTAACAATTAAATCGATTAGACATATTGTCAATAAAAACTCCTGATAATATGAATGTTTACAACAATTACGTTATAAATTTTACTTTCATCCATTTGTTATGTCCTTAACGACATTTCTCTACATTATAACTTCATTTTAATAAAAGTTTTACATATCAAAGCAAGCATATTTTTCTAAGTAATTCCTGTAAGAAGTTTTTTTCGTCCTTTGGTGCATTATAAACAAATGTAAAAAATTAAAGGGTCAAAAGAATTTCCGAAATTTTTTCGGTGATTTTTGACAGACTGTATTTAGGTGAAAAATGGTCGTATCCAGTAAAAAAAGCATTTTGAACCTCTAAGATTCTGGTTTTTATAAGCTACGGTTATCATGCAATTCTAAGAAATAGAATTGAAGACAAAAGGATCCTTTTTCATTAAAAGTCTGATATTTCGATGAAAAATGGTCGTACAACAAGCTATCTGGTTCATGGAATGAAATAACCGTAGCTCCTAAAAAATTCCAACAGAAAAATCTAAAAACTAGAATCTTAGAGCTTGAAAATGCTTTTTTTAATTACCGATACGACCATTTTTCACCTAAATACAGTCTGTCAAAAATCACCGAAAAATTTCGAAAATTCTTTTGACCCTTTAATTGTTTGCCTTAGTTTATTTGTACTGTCTTTTCCATCGACATAATTTAATTAAATTGTCTAACTACTTTTTTAATTTTTAAATTTGTAATGAAACATTTGTAGACATTTGCCCCTCATCTTATTTCATTCAGATACTCTTTAAACAATATTGCAAAACAACCTTTACAAACAAGAAGACTTAATTTACTTAACCAACTTTCTAAAATACCTTGACCGTCGTCTGATGTTTTGCGTTAAACAGCGTCTAAAGCCTATTACGTAAATAGGTCCCTACATTTCAAATTACACAGAAGCATAAGAGGTTGTTTACGCGTTACAAAGTATCTACGTTATACCTGAAAAAACGCTAATCTTGAGCTTATATTTTTTTCTATTTTCAGAAAACATTCCCGATGCTCTCCTGACGGACTGCAGCAAGTGCAGCGATAAGCAGAAAGAGGGCACCAAGAAAATTCTTAAACATTTGGTGAAGAACAAGCGCGAATGGTTCGACGAAGTCGCTGCTAAATACGATCCAGAAGGTGTCTTCAGGGAAAAGAACCGTGAAGAATACGCCAAAGAAGGCATTACTTTTTAGTCTGTAGATATATAAAAATTAAATGTTTTTATCGAATGAATAATAAATTCACATATTACACTTTCAGTTTTTTTTTTTTATTAGAGGCTTTTCAGAGAAAGCAGTCTATATTTAGAGGATACTCAAATTGTTGTATAAAACTTGAGGCTTAATGACAAATCAAAATACGCTCGTATAAAATGTTAAATATTTAAAGAAGTCACTTATTTTATCGTATTCTCGTTCTCGCACCACTGAGGCCACATGAACTGAACTTGAAATATTAGTTGTTTAATATTTGATGCATAAGTTTTCTTAGAATAAATAGCGTTAAATATCTAAATCAATATTTTCTCATAGGAAACACATACTCCATTAAAGGTGAGAAAAAACAGGTCATCAGTGTCAAGGCGGAGTATATGGGTTTTTTAATAAACAATTACATAGGCGTAGCTAGTTGTCAAGCAAAAAAATATATAATTATGGACATTAAATGTCGCAATATTATGTTTAATAATTGGCAGGGACAAAAGTTTCTACTTCGTGTTTTTTTAATTTTTTCCTTATTTTTTAATTCTAAACACTATAAATGGTAATATAACGATAATGTAATAGTAATACTATAAAATTTATAATCAGAGGTTTATTTTACATTCAATTTTCAATTATACTACCACAGACAATATAGCTTATCGCCACAGACTGCTTGTTAAATGATGGAAATTGGCAGTCTAAAATGGATGCAGGGTCTCCTTAGCCGGCTTGTTGCCAAATGATAACTACCAAATAAATTTGATGCATTCAATTATGTAATTAAAGAGATTTGGAACTTATCTTTTGTTTGGAAATCACATTTGTGATAAATGCTAAATAAAATAAATCAAGTTAGAATTAAAACTATGAATTTACCTAATTAATTATTTATTTTATATCACCTTGGAATGGGAGAATTCAAAAACTTGAAATTAATGTTTTTATATTTGTGCGTCGACTTCCAGTTTGGTACGATAAAAACACCTATATTTAAAAAAAATGTATTATACAGGTTTTGTATCCTTAGATGGGTACTGCTCTCTTATTGTTGATTTACTTAGTTAGGTAAAATAATTATTGACACAAGTGTTGCATATCATGAATGCCATTGGTAGTGCTCATATTTGTGACACAAGGTGTTCAAAAAAATTAACACAACGTAAAATGGATGGAACCTTAAGGAGTAGTTGAATACGGAATTTATTAAAAAAAAGCAACGAATCATCAATCAATGATCTCTTACAGAGATAAGATGATGCGTTCGCTACTGATGTTACAAATTTTGACAAATTTTTTTGTTTTTCGACATACGGACTTCGGACCTTTTCCATTCAACGCAGAACCAGATCTAGGGGTGTGGGGAGATTTTTTTAATTATTTTTTCGATTCAACGCGCCGCGTCCGAGTTATAAGACCTATTTTGCTGTATCACCTCACACCTCTTGTTTGCAAAATTTATTTTCCACATACGGATTTCGAACCTTTTGCATTCAACGCAGAATGGTCAATCAGAACCAGGGGTGTGAGGAGATTTTTTCAATATTTTTTTCGGTTCAACACACCGTTTCCGAGTTATAAACACTTTCTTATTCTATGATGTCACACACCGTTGGTCCCGAATTGTTTTTCGACATGTTGTCTTCTGACGTTTTTCACTCGATCACCAATCAGAACCATGGGAGATTTTTTGATAATTTGAGTCATTTCCGAGGTACAAGCAAATACTGATCTTTTTTTCATTCATATATTGTGACACCCCGCTCTGCGTCACCCACCGAGTGCTCTACTTAGAACAAAGGGGAGATTTGTTAATATTTCCAGCCATTTCCGAGTTACGAGCAAAAACCGTTTTTGTTGTGACATCATAGCTCGATAACGAAGGCTAAAAAGGCCACACGATGGCTCCCTATATGGGTGTCATGAAAATGCTGGGGAAGCTCCAGAGATTCTTGAAGATAGCAGCGAGAAAGAGAAACAGAGAAAGAAATGCCCTCTATGAGGACAAAGTCTCTTTATCTCTATCACACACTATAACTCTATCTCTCTCGCACACAATCAGACAAAAACGACAGAAACGAACCTTCCTTTAAAAATACATGGGATTTATATTTAAAATAAAACATTATTAAACTGTATTATTCAAATAACAATAATGTGCAAAACTTCTTCAGGAATATTGGCAAATTTATTTTGGAGGACGAATCCTGTCAATGAACACTAAAAAATATTATTACAAACCTGAGATGGCCAGAAAACAGCCCCGATCTCAGTCCTCTACACATATATTTGTGATGACACTTCAACAAAATATATTATTAAAGACTTGAAATTTACAAGCATTGAAAGAAAAAATATAGACCGAAATGTTTGATAATTCTGAATTTGTTTTTGGAACAATAAATAATAAATTAAAGCATATTTTCAACTGTATCATCAAAATTAGTTGCATGTTGATTTGTAAAAATTGTAGGTATTTTAATGTTATTTCGTTTTTGTTGTTGTTGTTGTTGTTGTAAAGGTTAGTTATAAAAATCGCTGTATGTTTTTTTCAATAAAGATGAATTTTCATTTTTTTATGATTTTTTTACTTTAAACACATATTTTATGCCAGTAAATTTTGATATCAAAAGAAATAAAAGAAAAATCGTACATTTGTATTTAAAGTTTTTTTCTATCTTTAATTATTAAACCTATAAGTGGATGTTAAAATACAAAAAGAAACCTGTACCATTCCCCGACGCGACATGCTATTAACCCACCGATATGAAATAGATTAATCATCATCAAATATTAAAAAAATTATACTTATTACAAGCTGATTAAAATATCATTACAATTATATTACAAGCTGTTTAAAATATCATTACGAATTTTGTTTATTTGGAAATATATTTTCTGCAGCATTTCAATACCAAAAAATGAAAATAGTAGGTAATTAACGAAATTATGATTAAATTACCTAACTGTGAGACTGCTGCAGAATATCATATGAAACTACATAGATATTCGTTGATTCCTTAAAAACATTTTTATAAATACCTACATTATACATTTAAGTAAATACAGTAACGCAAAAAACAGATATTGATAAAGAAGTGTACAAAAGAAATCCGTAAGTACGTCTGGCAACATTACCAAAGCGCTGTTTATATGTTGCTAGGATAGGCGTAGCAATTCGGGCCGCTGCATTTGGTTCTTCCTAAAATTCTGCTGGTGGTGTATTCTATCGGCAATTCGGTAATTTAAAACTGCTGGTCTATTCCAGTAGCGGTCTGCGGCGATAGCTAGTTTGTCTGTGATACTACGAACACAATTAAATTTCCAAAATTGTATATTAAACGGTGGTTCCTATCTTTTGGTTAGCTACAAGTGACGTTCATAATAAAAAAAAATAATATTAAAAAATATAATGTAAATATCTATAGATATAAAGAAGAAAATATTGGGAAAAACTTTGTATTACAAAAATTACTTGAAATTTAACGGTCTTTCAGATGGACCGTATTTCCACGTTCCAGGAATCAAAAAAATTTTTAGTACCGCCACGCGATCTATACGGAAATATTTGAATTAAGAATTCTAATTGCAATTTGAAGCTTTTCGAGGGACCTAACAACCCCAGTTGTTATGGCATACCCTGTATAAACATACTGTTATTAATAATCGCATATTTTTTTATGACAATCTTATATTTAGGTATAGTTGTTGATTAGGTAATTTTTATTTAGTCAAACATTCTTTGTAACATCATACAGGGTGTTTCATTAAGAACAGGACACAGTTTATGAGGGCTTTTGAGTTTAACTAAGGCGATTTATTAAATATGTTTTATTGAATGTTCATTTTATATATGCAAAAGTTTTTAAAATTTCAGTAACTACGTTTTTACATAAACCTTACTATGAAATACAAAGGCAACGTTAAAAAAATAACTAATTTGTTATACAAAGTATTTTTTCTTTGAACAATATTTTAATTATTTTGACTACTTACCTATCTAACTCATATTTACAATGAAATTAATCTATTTCAGCCTGTCTGCAGTGCAGGTAATCACTTTTGAGTGGTTTCCGTATAGTTACGTACTATTCAGAATAATATTAGAAAAATTGAGGCTACATTTTGATTTAAACTATATGGCATATACACCCTGTTCACACAACATTATGTCTCTTTTATCTTTTTTATCTTTCTATCTAAAGAGTGGTAAAGACCAAAGTTTTAGGAAATTTTGCGAGATCACAGAAATGCATTTAAAACAATTGAATGTTGTATTTTTTTAATGGAACATCTTTGGTTTGACGTTTTTTTGATTCCTCCATTTTTCCTAATTACAATACATGCCGTATATTTGGACAATGTTTTGGTTTATTTACTGATCCTGCATACAGTCAAGATTGCCAGGGAACCATTGCGTTGGTATGTTATCCGCAGTCAAATTCACTAAACAAATCTCTATATTTTAAAATAGAAAATCTATCTTATTATAAAAAATGTTGTATAGTTACTTTCTTCATGTTCTAGGCAAAAGACATACATGCCAAGAATTTTTTTTGTAATGGCCACATTATCCACTGTGGAGGGTCAGTAAATAATCTAAAATATAGCGCAAACTGTCAAAGCAAATATATGATCCCAAAATAGACAAATATATAGTAGCGTTTCCGTAAAAAAAAATCAAAATTTTTGGTTTATCCTTCGATATTTCTTTGAAATCGCAAGAGAATTTCCTAAAACTTAGCGTTTTACCATATTTGTTTTAGATACAAAAATAGAAAGATAAGAAGGCAGAATCACCCTGTACATAATTGAACAGAAATACACTTTTTAGACTAGAGCGGTATTTCTATTGCCGGAAATAGATTTTATTTTATTTGATGTGTTGTGTTATTTAAAAACGGGGAAAAATTATATATAAATTTAATATACCTACCAAAAATTAAGTAATTTAAAATTATTAGGAACAAATTTGAAACTCAAATCTTTCAAATTGAAACTTATCCAGGAAATGAGTCTCTTGACATTCAAAAATAGTGTACGATTTTTGATTAAAAAAAAGTAAGTCACGTTTTTTATTATTTTTTGGTAGAATTGCCTATATGTGAAGAACAGATACGTTTATATCACATTTGCTATACCAACAAGACGTAACTAGTGTCCCTACCAATGATTGCAAAATGGATACTATTTTATTATCGTCCTAATAACACAAAAATCTCACCTACTAAAAATTCCAAATCGACTGATGAAACATTTTTTAAAAGACATACCTAAAGTGTACTTCAACAAGAATCAAAACGCCCTCTAAAAATTTTTTTGGGACGTATATTTAAGTTATTTTCATAATTTTAGTCAAGACCCAGTATGTGTACAATTTTACGTCCGTAAACACACTTGTTAATTGTAATCACCAGTATTAGTAATTGGTTATGGTGTTTCCAACGCCTCCTAGATTTTTTTTTAGAGAAATAAAAACTAAATATAAAATTTTAAGTCTACATAAAAAAAATTTAAGGATTTTAAAGTAATGAAATATGACATGTAGGGGCTTTGAGTGATGCTAATTACTGCTACTAACCTCTTAATAAAAAGTCTGTAAGTGACTTTTCCAAAAATCGCTTCTAAAAAAATCATTCTAGCCTTGGGTATCCAAAAAAAAAAAAATTGAAAATTTTGGGGTTGCTGTTTCTCTAACATTTGATCTTCTATACTGAAAAGGAGAAATATTTGATTAAAGCTTGTTTGCTCAGCAGCACTATCAAAAACCTGTCAGTAAACTGTGCCTCATTTTTTGTTACCAAGGAAATAAAGAACTACATCTTACATAACGCTCCCTTCCCTGAATATTGAGTCAACTGTTTGTCAAAACTCGCGCGCCACTGCAGTTTGTTGTTCTAAAACGCCCCCCTCACCATCTTCACCAACATAAAGTATAAAAGAACCTGCCACACATGTCGCATTAACCATTTGAAGTGTAAAATAAACATCTCAAAAAATGAACCAACATCTATTAGTCTTATTTGTGGCCTTAATTGGCATAGTTGCTAGCCAGAAGTATACTACAAAATATGACAACGTTGATTTGGACCAGATCATTAAGAGTGACAGGCTGATGAAGAATTACATCGACTGTGTTTTAGAGAGAGGAAACTGCACTCCGGATGGACTAGAACTTAAGAGTAAGTTACACATGAGCATTTCTTTTATATACGAACTTTTTAAAATTCTTCTAATGAAAACTAGCCAGTATAGCATCTTAAACGTCTTTTATTCTATGAAAAAGTATAGTATCCATATTTCAAAGCAAAAATAAATATGATTATTCTTAAGAATTGATAATATTGTATTACAAACAGTTGCATGATATCAAACCTTTTCACTAGATATATTAAGAAATTTTTCTATTATTTTCTTTGTGAAGAAAAATTAATATTCTTTTTGGAACTATTTATAGCACTGTTAAGAGTTATCACATTAATTTAAGCTAACATCATGTAAGAAAAATGACTTGGAACAATTCATTACTGTCACATTATTTCTTTTATTTTAAACAATATACTGATTTTTGTAAACAAATCTTTAAAGTCAAATCAATAAAATGCAAATTTGATTGCTGCCAGTAGTTGAATTTGTTTATTTTGTTATTTCCATTTACTGGAACAAAAATATTCCCACATTAATCAAATTACCAAACAGAATGAAAGGTCAGTTGTATAATGAGTACCAGATTGTTAAATATGTTACATAATTAGAGAAATCTGTACACAAACGTTCTTGTTTGTACTGTCAAGATTCATGCAGTGTGTTCATGGAGTTGAAAATAGGAAAAAACCGTTCTTGTTAAAAAAATTTAAATGTGAAAATGCTTAATAAAATGCGAATTAAGAAATTATTAGAAAGATACATAATAATACTAATACAGTGACAAACAAGTTTCGAGTAGTAATTTGACATTATTATTTATGCAAAATGAAGAGGTCTTGGTGAGACAAGAATTATTTTATTTATAGATAAAGTGCATTGAGAATTAAAATTTAATTCCGTATTACAAATTTGAAAACGATTTGCCTACTCTACTACGATTTTTCCATTCTTTGAGCGCCCAATTTGCGCAAGGAATTGGGAAAATTTTTATTGTAGCTAGTAGAATAGAATATTAGATGTTTAGAATTAAAATGTCTGTTATCGTCCGAATTTGTGCATGAGCAGTCTGTTTTAATTTTGCAATTCAACAAAATAAAAACATATTAAATTTGACATATGAAAATAAAATTTTATTCCGGATAGCTTTCATCAAGAAAGTTTTTTGATTCCTTATACGAGAAAGGCAGTTTATTCGCACAGAATATACCGCGTGATTCAGTTTGTTATTCGCGGCCCTGTATCTCTTTTATTTTAACAAATAGCTATAAATAAACCCTATATATTTTTAAATCGCCGTTCAAACTCTATCAAATGACATTATTAGATCATCTCCATTTTAACATAATACGTCAAAATTGCTATAGTCAACTGCTTTTGTTCAAATGGCACAATATATATTTTTTTGTCAATTCTGGGAGATATTTTTTTTCTGCGTTCAGCTATGTAAGAAAGTCTATAGTTTCATTAGAAATATTGTTAAAAAAATAGCAAAAAAGATTAAGCTTTATTCTGAAAAATGCGGAAACAAGCTACTATGTTTTTTAAAGTAACATATTTTATTTTGAAAACGATAATAATATAACAATTTAAAACAATACTTATTTCAATTTTTCAAAATGACCTCCATTTGCTTCAAAACACAGAATAGCTCTGTTTATCATTTTCTCTCTACAAACATTCTCTAGTGTTTCTTCATTTAATCTCCGACATTCTACTCTTATTCTATTTTTAAAGTCGTCAATATCATTTAGGTAAGGTCAACAAAAAAATCTATAGGAGTAAGATCCGGAAATCTAGCAGGCCATTTAACATCTTTATCGAATGTTGTTCATCTCTTCCCCTTCTGGGTTTAAAAACTCTTCTTTTCTTTTGAAAACTTCTGCCATCTGCCGCCAAATTCATGGCTAACTTTCCGACAATTTTATCTGATGGAAGTTGTCTCTGCGGAAAACGATGTTGGTATAAATACCTGGCAGCTTTAGCGTTTTTTCGGCCCTCTCCATAAATTAAAATCATATCTAGTTTTTCTTGGTTACTGTAAGTATTCATGTTATAATTAATTAGTTATAGATAGAATAGGTAGGTACAAAATGTCAATTATTTTGACAAACCGTTACTTTTTAGAAACGTCAAAATTCAGTTGTTCCGCAGCTGGCTATAATTTTTCAGAATAAAGCTACTGAAAGTAGGGTTCATCTCTTTTCCCATTTGCTAGCAATATTTCTAATAAAACTATAGACTTCCTTATATAGCTGAACGCAGAAAAAATATCTTACAGAACTGGTAAACGAATATATAGCGTGCTATTTGAACAAAAACAGTTGTCTACAGAAATTTTGACATATGAAAGGAGATGATCTAGTAATGTCGTTCGATAGAGTTTGAGCGGCGATTTAAAAATATATAGGGTTTGTTATAGCTATTTGTTAAAATAAAAAAGATACGAAGCCGTGCCCTGAATATCAAAACTGAACCACTCGGTATATTTTTTTATTCTGACGAGGTTTACTTAATTTTTCACAAACAAAGATATCACGGAGAACATGCAAACATCAGAAAATGTACCTTTTCTGATTTGTAAGCAAATTTGTAAAGATACTCAATAATTGTGATTAATGCGTGTGTTAAAAGCATTCTGCAAGGTGTGATTATGTTTGTGCCGCACGCAATTTTCTGAATGGTAAACTAGTCGTGTAAAAATCTGCCTTTTTTTCCTTATTTTGAATGTATTGTCAGTTATCTTACACCCTTAAGAAAGCTTATACTGGTACAGTAATGTGATGTTGTTTTTACTTGCTTAGATTTTGTATAATGCTGGACAAAGAGTGCATATTAAAGTGTATTACAGTATTATGGAGTTATAAGGATAAAATCAATTACTGTACTTCAAATCATTTTTTATAGAGCAATCCCTGTGTATGTGGATCCACTATAAACTACATTGTTGAATTTTTTAACGCAAGCAGAAATGTTTAACAACCTTTTTCTCATGAAATTAAAAGTATATCTTTTCAAGTTGAAAACTTATTTTAAAATTGTTTGACATTATTTATTTACTAATTTACACCATCCGAGAGGTATTATGTAGCTATAAATTGTCAATTTTGAGTTTTCAATGCATTTAAAGATATTATCAGAACTAACTAAAAAATTTCGTGTTTACGTGTATGGTGATTCATATAATTCTCCTACCGATAACTTGACAAAGGAAAGAGGTTTATTAAATCTATAAAGATCAGTTGATAAAGCTGCTTGATGACGTCCAATGAGAGCTCAAAAAAAACTATTGAATTTATTGAAGAATTTCTTTTGACACCAACGCCATCTACAATTTGCCATGGAATTTGCCAATTTGCTTGGACTCTCAATCAAAGTCATCGAGGTGCTCTATCAGCTAGCTTTCTACGAAATCAAAGAATTTCTTTCCGTTAAGTTATCTGCTCGCAATAGGAATCGCCCTGTATTATAACCGAAGAAATACATATATTTACGATTACGTGTTTGTTTCAGAAAATATTCCCGATGCGCTTTTGACAGACTGCAGCAAATGCAGCGACACGCAGAAGAACGGATCAAGAAGAATTTTGAAACATTTGGTACAGAACAAGCGATCCTGGTTTGACGAGTTGGCTGCCAAGTACGATCCTGATAACGCTTACAGGAAGAGGAATGAGCAAGAGTTCGCCAAAGAAGGAATTGTTTTCTAAGTTACTAGTTTAAAATATGATTGTTATCTAAAAATAAATTAAAAATAAACAAAAATAGTTCTATTATTAAAATGACCCATACAAAATTTTATTTTTGATATTTTTTATAAAGATAATTCACATAAACGATGAAAATGAGCAAATATTTAAAAATTTGTTTTAAATAACTTTTTCTACTTATATAAACTGAAAGTTAATCGATCAGAAGTGGCTTTTTGTCTTAATTAAAACTCTAAACGAACAATTATAAATTTATATGAACCTGCTTTATATGAATCTATTTCAACGGAATACGCTAGTAAGTTTAATACATTTAACAGTTAAATTACTTTTATTTGCTCCCACGATAATAAATAGACTACTTATTAATACATTGTTTTTAAGGAGGTAAGCAGATTTTACCGTAGATGTGGAACTTACCCCACTAGGGAAAAAAGTGATTTCGAGTTATAAACACATATTGTATGAACAAATAAATAGAAATATTTTATTAATTATTAGTAATTGTACAGTTATTACATTTAGTAACATTTATAAAATCTGGATAATTATTCCCCTCGCGTTTACTAACTGTCACATTTTTCTCAAAATGATTTGACCGCTCCATTTCAGTCATCGGAGGCTCAATATTTACTGACTGATCCATTAAAACAGCATGATGCGACGTACTACTAGAACCTGGAGTTGAAGTGTCATTGGAAAGAATTCTGTTTCATTTTTGTTACTTAAACTGTCAGCAACCTAACTTTCTGCAATTGTGGCTGATTTCTACCCACCATGCCTCTTGATTGCTAATACATCAACTCCTGTATAAGCCAGTAACGTTGCCGATGTTCTTCGGAATGGATGGCCTGTATATGTTTCAGGATGTTCTAGTTTCAAATACTGTACAATCTTATTAGGAATCATAGAAAGGGTATTCTTGCCGATTGGTTGGTTGTAACATCTGCCTGCTGGATAGCGCATAAAAAAGCGTGAAATTTTAGTTTTTATTTCCAAATTTTTGAAATTGACGTTGTCCAAAGTAAGTTTACATGCAAAGCCTAAGACCGTCACTACCTTCATTAGCAAATATGTGCTGTCGGGGCTATCGAGTGCCTACACGAGAAAACTCTCGGACATTATTGCCATCGTCCTCGACTGGTAAATAATAGTTGCCTCCTTTATGGTGTAAATAACTATTATCTACTACTGTATCAAAAGTAACAATTTTTTTTACTTAATTTTCTCCTCCTGTATCTGCAACCATATTGCAGATGATCTCTAAAACTATGACCCACATAGTCCTGTGATTTGGACAACCCAAGACATTTAGCAATTTCGAGTTCTTCATTTTCTATAAACTTTTCAAAGCCCTTGTTTTACCGACAACAACAAAAGGTCGAGGTTTATTGGTTTCTGTGTTAAGTCGAAATATTCACTACCAACATATTTATACTTCTTACCTTGCTCAATAAATTCGTCCCTTCTGTATGTCGTTACATATACAAATCATAGCATTAAATTGCCTTCATCATTAAATACATATTTAAGTAAAAAGTAAGTATTTTAGGTGGTTCGTTTACAAAATTGTATATTTTATTTTTGCTAAACACTTTTGGTTTCTTGGTACGGTATCTTCCAGCATACAATTTCACATAAGCGGTTACATTGCCTGAGATCGATATTTTCGTTCAATAAAACCTTCACCATGGAATGTGGACAAAAGACAACTTTAAGGTTGTTAAGGCGTTGCCTATGTATCTGTTACAGACTTATATTGCACTTCGCCTTAGCTAGGAATATTTAACCTTTAACCTGATATTTATGTCGGTTCTTGTTGCTGGTTCTAAAGCAGCTATGGACACAACTGCTCCTCATACAAAGGCGTTCCTTTGAGACGAGACGTCTCTGTAACTGTTCGCATCCACTGCTTCGAATCATGGTATTTTTCCATACGCATTTCTAATTTTAGCAAACATGCATTTTCATTCCTCAAAAGGAAATGTCTATTTACGGAACAGGTATGATTAAAATAATGAACAGTTCTCCTCCCTACTAGAAATATGTATTTAAAAAACGACAATATGAGCTTTACAGCAAATATTATGCATTATGATTACATTGAACCAACTAGTGTGTTTGACAATTTTTTTCTCTGGGTTTGCTGTTCCAAAGGAACTGTATTCTTCGAAATTTGATAACATAGACTACGAAGAGGTCTTAAGAAGTGACCGGTTACTGAAGCATTATGCAAATTGTCTATTGGACAAAGGAAGTTGCCCACCAGAGGGAGCAGAATTAAAAAGTAAGATTAGCATATTTTCAAGTCCTCCTTTGCTTAAAGTTTCTGGTGTAGAAATACTGGCTTCTCAATAGATACACACCAGCAGACGTAAATAACAATTTTTTTCCGAGGAAACAGGGAAAGTGCATTATGTAAATTATTATCTTTTTAATCACATTTAGGTATCCGTTTATTAATCGATAGTAAATATGTTTCATGTTGATTATAGGGATCTTACCGGATGCGTTAGAAACCGATTGTGCCAAATGCACTGAAGGTCAGAAGAGAGGTGCAAAAAGAGTGATCCAGTTTTTAGTTATCAGTAAACCGGATACATGGGAACAACTCATGGCTAAATACGACCCCAATGGAGAATTTAAGGAAAAATATGAGAGGGAGTGGTTAAATGAAGATTAATACGCATGTTTCAAAAGTATGGAATATAATATAATAATTTAAAAGGTAACGATGAGTTTTTTACAATAATATTCAGATATGTAAATGTCGTTTTATAAAAACACATATTTCTGTAGAAAAATCTATTTCTGACTGTAATTTAATTTCTAGCAAGGATGAACTAATTCTATCTTACTTCTGTATTTTACTCGCAAGTGCTATTGGTATTTACCATTCCTTCATCAATAAAAAATCCAATTTTATTTGAACACCGATGTAATTTTTCAAACTATTTTCCGTTCCAAACTCTCAACTTTACCGAAAATTATCTTCATCCGCTTTTTCTACATTGTTGTATGCAGTAAAACATCCACACTCTCAGAAATTGATTCGTCTACAGGGCTGGCCCCGTTTCGGGTTAGAAGTGGGACTTACTATTCAGATTATGAAACGTCTTCAATGTAACCATCCTTGTCTATCGCACGGATTTCTATGACTTACTTTATCGTTCTCACGTAACGGCCGATGTACCATGGGGACTTTCCGAACCTGTATATTAACATGTATTTTTATAAAACAAAGTTGACGTACCTGATGATTTTTGGAAAATACTCTTGATTCACATTTAAATTGAATTTATTCTATACTTTTGAAACGCATTCAGAAGTATGTATAGAACCCAGAAAACTAATTATTTTCACTTAAAACAAATACATCGTAGAAAGCTTGTGATAGTATTATAAATGTATATAAATAAAACGTATTATGTATTATCTTATAATAAAATAATGATAAAATGAAGGAACTGCACGTCACAACTTACTAACATAGCAAAGTATGTTGGATGTTTCATTTTAGTAAGCTCATTGTGCAAATTTGTTTATCTGATGCTAGAGTCACACATAATATTAAAAACAGCCATCTTCCTTTATCATGTGGCTTTATTCATGCATATACGTTAAATTCGTGATTGAGATACGTCGAGCAAAAACGTGACTAAAAGATAATAGGTACCGTTTCCAGACAGATAACACAGACCAACAAAATTTAACTTTTTTGGAAGCAGAAACCTGAATATATATTTCCGAAGGATTTAAGTGCGCTGAATCCGAATCTGGAGCCAAATGAATATGACAGATAGAAAATGTCATTTTGAGCAAAAAGTTTCATGTAAACATAGGTCCGAAAATGCATAATAAAAAAGTTACAGGGTGATAAAGGTACAGTTTGAGAAACAAATTTTCGCAATAACTTCTACAAAAGTGAGGCAATTTATTCCCATCGCCCAGGAGCGGACAGCCGGGGTAGCACATAGGATTTTATTATGAAAAAAAATTGTCCTTTGCATTTTCTGAAAAATAAACTAATATGTCACAAAAAAGGTACTATTCTTCAATGTCGCCAACATGAACCGTTCTCTTTAAAATTTGCAAAATTTATTGTCGTGCACCCGACAAGATAGAAGTAGCAACGGAAGTTCGTCATCATAGTAGCCATGAAATTTAAAATAACCTTTCAGTTTTCCTGTCAAAAGTTAATTGTAACCTATCCAAATAGGAGAATACCTTCTCGAAAATTGTTTATGTCCATCGACCGGCGCCTTAGAGAAACAGGTACTTTTAAAAAAAGTCATTATGACACTGGCCGTCCCAGAACGATCCGAACTCCAGAGGCTGAAGAGCGTGTTCTCCAACGTTTTGAAGAAGATGATACTTTAAGCACCAGAAGAATTGCTTTCGCCGAAAATATGCCACATTCCTTGGTATGGAGGATTGCTAGGGAACAACAACTGCATCCATATCATACGACTAAAGTACAAGAATTGCTTGCTGAAGATTTGCCAAAACGACTACAATTTTGCAACTGGATGTCAGAAAAGGTTCGTGTTGATGCGATGTTCGCCAAACGTATTTTGTTTACTGATGAGTGTTGTTTCACAAAAAATGGCATTTTCAATTTAAGAAATAGTCATCACTGGAATGATGAAAATCCAAATGCAACAGTTGTGCGACATTCACAATACAAAATTAAAATCAATTTATGGGCGGGAATAATTGGCAATAAACTTTTGGGTCCAATTGAACTTCCTCTAAATGTGAATGGGGAAAATTACTTACATTTTTTGAACAACGACTTTGTTGAAGTTTTGGAAGACCTTGATTTGGAAACCAGAAGAAATATGTGGCTAATGCAAGACGGGGCCCCTCCTCACTACTCTCGACAAGTAAGGCGACATTTAAATAATATTTTTGCAAATAGATGGATTGGTCGTGGATGGGATGCTCCTCAGCCATGGCCACCAAGAAGCCCAGATCTAACTCCTTTAGATTTTTTTGTTTGGGGATACGCAAAATCTAAAGTGTATGAAATTCCAATAGAAGACGAGGATCATTTAAGGCAAAGAATAACGGACACTTTCAATGAAATAAAGACGAATGAAGAAGTTTTGAATAAGCTCCCCTTTCATTTCTTAAAAAGAGTTAGAGCATGTATTAGAGCTAACGGTGATCACTTTCAACATATGCTTAAATAACTTTTTTTTTTAGTAAGTAGTTTTGTTATGTTGTAATTTAAAAATAAATGTTATTTGTTATAACAAATTTACAAACCAAATCCATACCCAGTTACCACATAAAGCATAGCCTTCTTGATTACAGCATTCTTGTTGTCGGGTGCACGACAATAAATTTTGCAAATTTTAAAGAGAACGGTTCATGTTGGCGACATTGAACAAGAGTACCTTTTTTGTGACATATTAGTTTATTTTTCAGAAAATTTGATCAATTTTCCGAAAATGCAAAGGACAATTTTTTTTTCATAATAAAATCCTATGTGCTACCCCGGCTCTCCGCTCCTGGGCGATGGGAATAAATTGTTTTTGCACGAAATTGTTGCATTTTAGTGTCTAAGAAACTGCACCAAGATTCATTTAAATTGCCTAAGTTTTCTAGAAGTTATTGCGAAAAATTGTTTCTCAAACTGTACCTTTATCACCCTGTAACTTTTTTATTATGCATTTTCGAACCTATGTTTACATGAAACTTTTTGCTCAAAATTACATTTTCTATCTGTCACATTCATTTGGCACCATAGTTTAGAAACTCCCTGTATATGCGTTAAAAGCAGTTAATATTGTGGAATAATGGTGTGTGTTACAAATTTCTACGGTTTTAAAATGAAGATGATCGCACAGAAAGTACTTTTCATCAGGATGCCGATGCCTTAGAAACATAGTCGACAAACAAATCTGCTTCGATATCTCTATTCTGTAAATATTATTAAATATATTGAACGTATCAAACAGCATAATATACAGAGTGTCTCAGAATAACGTGTACAACGGAGGACCACAGATTTGTGGACTCAAAATAAGCAGATTTAGGCTAATTCATCTATGCCCGAAATCGCTTCGTTTGGCCGCTAAATGGCCTCAAAGTTCGTGAAAATTTTTTTAATTTTGTAAATAACTCGAATACGTATTAATCGATTTTGGTTATTTTTGGGGTGTTGACTTTTACTTTCAATCTACACATTTTGGTGTTATACAGAGTATTTTTTAAAACCTACAACTTCTACAAAATTGTTGTATGGTGATAATATCTGTTCATAACGTTTTCCTATTTCCTCTTTTTTCCTCGGGCAATAATGACAACTATTTTCTATCTGATACGATTTGAAAGTTTTTAGGTCTCTTGTAGAGTTTTGATTAAATGAACGGTTTGGGTACAAAAACATATTTTTTAAATATCTACATTATCGTGCCATCCATATCATAATAGTTAACAAAGTGTTAGTAGGCACTGAATTTGTAGGTTGACTAATTTCAGTCTGATCTTTAACTCATTGTACCTGACAATTCTTAGTGACAATGAAATATACCACCTGTTACTTCATTTTTCGAAATGTATACACACATACGACGAATTAGAATTATTTACAACGTGCCTAATTTTATTCAAAAAATTTGAAAAAACAATCAAACACAACGCATTCTATCCAATAGACTGAATGGTGAATTTTGTTTAGAATTTTTGCAAAACACTTTACCCGAGTTATTGGAAGATATGTCATTATGGCTCAGAGCTAACATGTAGTTTATGCATGATGAAACTCCACGACATTTCATTGTCAATGTCCGGCAGTATCTGATCCAAAGATTACCTCGTCGATGGATCGGTAGAAGGGATAATGTTCCTGTTAACTGGCCTGTTCGTTCACCAGATTTAACAGCTTGCGACTATTATCTTTGAGGTACACAACAGTGTATGCTTCCACATCTAACACTGACGAAGAGTTGTGGGAGACATATCCAAATTGAGATAAATGTTTTAAAAACTTGCCCTCAAAAACTGCATTGCATGCACTGCATGGTCATTTTCAACAGTTTTAATAATAAATTGTACTAAATCTAATAACATCAACTTTGTTACTTTTATCTCCAGCATTTTTTATTGTATTTGATTGTTTTTACCAATTACTATTTACCAATAAAATTAGGCATGTTGTAAATAATTCGTCGTATGTGTGTGTGTATCTATATCGAAGTAACATGTGGTATATCTTATCGTAGTAAACACTATAAATTGGCAGGTATAATGACTTAAAGATCGAACTGAAATTACAGTCAACCTACAAAATCAGCACTGTTAAGTATTGTAATATGGGTGGCAAAATAATGTAGACATTTAAAAAATATTTTTTGTACCCAAACCGCTCGTTTAATCAAAATTCTACAAGAGGCCCAAACCTATAAAAAAAAAATAATAATTGTTATTATTGCCCGAAAGAGGAAAAAGTTATGAACGGATATTATCACCATACATCAATTTTGTAGGAGTTGTAAGTTTTAAAAAACACTCTGTATAACACTAAAATGTGTAGATTGAAATCAAAAGTCTACACCCCAAACATAATCAAAATCTAATAATACGCATTCGAGTTATTTACAAAATTGAAAAAATTCTCACGAAGACCATCTAGCGACCAAACGAAGGGATTTTGGATATTATTAGCCTAAATCTGCCTATTTTGAGTCCACGAATCTGTGGTCTTCCGTTGTACACGTTATTCTGGGACACCCTGTATAACTAATGACTACAAAAAGGTATAGCGAATAATACCATGGCCCTCTGTGTGGACTTAGCCATAACACCGTCTTTTTTTATGAAATAGGAATAAACTGAAGGAACGTAATAGAAAGTAAAAATGGTCTTGAATTATTCGCACATAATTCATTATCTCATAGATATAATGTAATAATTGTACTAATTAGGTAAGTACTAATTAAAAATAGTATAGTATTCTGCAGAGACTAAATTAATTGAATAAAGATATACACTATACTAGCTTCAATCTTTAATTCACTTTAAATATCACTTCTGTTATTATTTACTTATTTTTTCATTCAAATAATCGAAAATTTATTATAAACAAGGAAATTTTTAAATTTTGCCGAGGTCAACTAAAAACTAAGCAAGGTTTCAGAATGTTTCTAAAATTGCAACCTTAAAAAAATTCCACAAACGCGTCAAAAACATTCATGAATGTTATGTGGAATATTAATAAAATATGTTATCATCCGACTGAATTCTAAAACTGTTTATAAGACATGTTCACTATATTGGTTATACTGTTGGACAAATAAAGTGTTATTATATTGAAGGAGAACTAGAATATTAGTAATTTAATTTTAATATTTATTTCTTTTCCAGCATAATAATAATAGATAGTAATTGGCAAATTAATTATGCCACACTTAAACATATTTAAATTGTTAAGGGAATTTCCAACCCATGACTTTCTCCTTTTTCAATATTAAAACTATCAAACGTTGTTAATTCATTAATACGGATATATGTAGTATAGTGGAAACCTTCCGATTTTGAATAGAAACAAAATCGGCTATTAGGTATTGTTTTACAACATTATCTCCATTTTCTCTACTTTAGCTCTACACAGATGCAATCATTATTATTTTGAGATAACAAAATTTTGTTTTAAAGAAATATTCTATTTTTATCAAATAATTACCCAAAATAAAAGCGAAAAATGATATAACTAAATATAATAAAAACACATACCTGATATATTGAATTTGTTAAATAACACAGCCCCACAAAAAAAATTGAACTTATTTTCTCCGATATCTGAGGAGGTGCACTTTATGTTTTTGGGGTTGCTGAATCCGAATCCGGGGTCCGTTTATCCCCATCACGTCAGGGTCAAGGGCATCTGAAGGTCAAATTGCGGAATGACTATTAAAAAATCTGGAAAAATTTATATATATGTTTTCGGGGTCGCTAAATCTGAATCTGGGGTTCTCTTGACATTGAAGTGTCATAATCAAGTTCAAATAAAGGTCAAAACCCTAAAATTTGATGATATGATATTTTTGACCCCGGATTCCGAAAGAGCAGAAAATTTTACATCCGAATACGTATTTACCACAAACATAACAGAAATGATATGGCGTTTTTGGGTTGTCATGCTCATGTCTATGGGTTCTACTACTTGTAGCTTTATACTCTGGTGAGGCCAAGGTAGCCACCTCAACAGAGCCGCGGTCACTGGATGACGACGCCTGCGGGCCCGCTTTCCCACCCTGACCAGCCGCCGATACTGGGGTTCCATCCCCCTGCATCGGTCCCTGTTCCAGGGACTTTGCCGGATAGCGGGACAACTCCGTTGCCCGCCGTCACCACGGGGAGGTGCCCTGGATGCAAACACACGGATGAAATTTTTCACTCTTACAGAATCCGGAGTAAGAAAATATTATATCGTTATATTACGACGTGATTGGCTCAAATGAATACCAGAATCGTGATCAACGACCCGAAAAATATCAACTAATCAAATACCCAAGATCTCAATTTACAGCCAAAAACTGGAAAATGGATTTGATTTTGAATGACCATCACGTGACCTACAAAGATCTGTTCTAAAAAAAAAGTCAATACATATTCGGACGTAAAATTTTCTGCTCTTCAAGAATCCAGGATCAAAATGATCATATCTTCAAATTTTAGGGTTTTGACCTTTATTTGACCTTGATTCTGACACTTCAAGGTCAAGAGAACCCCAGATTCAGATTTAGCGACCCCGAAAACATATATATAAATTTTTCCAGATTTTTTAATAGTCATTCCGCAATTTGACCTTCAGATGCCCTTGACCCTGACGTGCTGGGGTTAAACGGACCCCGGATTCGGATTCAGCAACCCCAAAAAAATTAAGTGCACCTTCTCAGATATCGGAGAAAATAATTTCAATTTTTTTGTGGGGCTGTGTAATGTAATTAATCAAAAAAATATCTTTTATTTTCTAATTTTTTAATAGTTAGAACAACATCCTAACTATTAGAACAACAAATATTTAAATTGTTTATAAGAAATTTTTTAAAAAGAGGGCAAATATGATTATGTAAATAGCAATTCACATTAATTTAGTCTTATTCAACACAGTCGTTTCAAAATGTAAGTATTTTATTTTATTAATTTTTTTATCTAGTTACGCCACCTCACAGTACTAAACCAATTACGGGGTAGTGGTTTACAAATAGAAAACATAAGGAAACACTAGTATTCACTATCTTATATAGTTTCGGTAATTTATTATAAAATTGTATTCCTTGGTAGTTAACTAACAGTCCAAATTTCTTAGTTGTGTGTAGAAATACAAAACAGTTCACAGTTTCGAGTAAAAAAGTTGTAAATTTTTTAGTATTCTGAAGTTATGAAGTCAAATAATAACTTAATTAAGCTCACAGAGGATTCAGTGGATACGCTGCCGTTGATAAAGGACTGGTTTATTGCTAATAGATTGAACTTAAATGTTGACAAAACTCAATCTCTGCTTTTTACACTTCGCCATATCAATACTTGTGATAACTCAAATAGCATTAAATTTCTTGGAGTTCACCTTGACACTAAATTGAGTTGGGAAAAACATGTCAATGATTTATCCGCACGTTTATCTAAGAATATTATCCTACTGCGTAATTTGGATCGTGTAGTATCTAAGCCTGTACTCATATCTGCATATTATGGTACTTTTCATGCTACCATGACTTATGCGATTTTGAACTGGGGTCATTCGTCTCGCAGTGATAAAATTTTTGGTTTACAACGTAAATATATTAGAATTATGGCTGGAATAAAACACAGAGATGATTGTCGGGAACACTTCAAACTGCTAAATATTCTTACAATGCCGTCAGTTTACATATTTGAATGTCTCATTTATATTAGCGAAATCCAGAGATGGCACAAATAATTTTTGCATTAAATTCTTTAATAGACTTCCATCTGAGATTCGATCACTAAATTCAGACTGTTTTAAGGCCAGAATTAGAAAATATCTTAAGAGAAAAGCGTTTTACAATTTTGATGACCAGTTTTTAGATATTTAATGTATGTTCGTAATATTCACTTTTTTGTGCTGTTTACGTTGTATTTATCTGAATGTGTTTTTTTAGCTTTAGTGTAGTATTGCTTATATGTTGTATCTTTCGTGTTTTTCTTTCTTTGACTTGTGTAAACATTTTAATGTATAGACACCAATAAATTATTTGATTTGATTGATTTGATATTCTCCTTGACGTGCAATTATATTTTAAAAATATGGATACATGGGAAAATTCTCAATAAATATCTGACATATTTCAGAATTTATATTAAATATATTTCTAACTATACGTTTCTGCGCTAGGAAGAAGCTATAACTGTTAGCAGCACAACCCCACAAAATGACATGTTATAAATAGCAGTATACTACATATAATAAACATTTAGTAAGGCACACAATGGCACCGTTTTTTTATTCGTGATAGGTAGGTATAGCATAATGTGATATATTCAATGTTGCACATAATGCATTTCTATTCACTTTAACTGGATGTCAAGGTGAAACTCAGAAAATTGATACTTTCAGATGATTCCAAAATGATATTATCAAAGTTTTAATACAATTATTTTGTGCCTGCGGCGGGTTTATTATGGTAATATATTATTTTGTCTTAATAATATTTAAAATAAGGCTATTGGATTTACACCATTTGTCAAAAATATTATACAGCTCTTACAAACTCTAACGAGATCCTTATGGGTTGGAGCTGAACCTACAAGAGATGTATCGTCAGGGAATAGCGTTATAGCAGCAGAATTCATATAAGTAAGCAAGTCATTTAGAAATAAAAGAAAAATCATCGGTCCCAGTACTGATCCCTGAGGCACACCTAGAGTAACACTTTGATTCACAGACACTGACCCTTTAATTTACTTTTAATGAATGAAATGTTTTAACAATCAAAGGCACATATTAAGTTGAAAAAAGACCAGCAACGTATCTTCCTTCGTCTAAGATTTTATAAATTGTCTCAGTCAGACTGCAAACTGCTGACTGGGCATTATAACGAGCGTTCAAATAAAAACGTGATCAAGTTGGTTCTGAAAATTTGGACGTAGGGCGCAGCGTATAGCAAATGAACTTAAACGTCATCTGTCAAAGCGCTATATTGCCTGTGAACAACTACGGTGGACTTCATAATATCACCTTTTTTTCTGATAAAGCCTGGTTTCATTTAAGTGTTTACGTAAACTCACAGAATATGAGAATGTGGTCTTCTGAAAAACCAGATAACTTTTTTGTCGAGGGCCCTCTACACGCTCAAAAAATTGGAGTTTGGGGTGCTCTCAATCGAAGGAGGATTTATGGACCTATTTTTTTTATTGGTACTCTTACTGCACAAAGGTATAGAGAAGAAATTATCGCTCCTTTTGTTAACCAGCTGGAAGAAAACGAAATTACAAACTTTTACTTTCAACAAGATGGCGCAAGGGCACTTACGGCAGGCGAGACGATGAATATGTTGAGGGAAGTTTTCCAAAATCGACTAATAAGTCTCAATGCTGAACATGAATTTCCACCGAGGTCATGTGATATTACGCCGTGTGATTTCTTTTTGTGGCCTTACCTTAAAAACACTATTTTTGAACTGCCTATTCCTGATTTAAACCATCTGCAGGCTCGACTTATAGACAAGATTCGTGAAATTAACAATACCCCGAGCATCTTAGAAAAATTCTTTGAGGAACAGGTGTGAAAAGTGCTTGGAACAAGGAGGGGGACACTTTCAGCAGCTGCTTTCATTTATTGTTATAACAAGGAGGAGGACACTTTCCGCAGCTCCTTTAATTGTTTGTTATTGTTATCACGATTATTCTTTAAAATAAAGTTATATAGTCATTAACGTTATTGAAACTGACAGCTGCTATACAGGTCGTTGAGAAATGAGGTTAAGTTGGTTGCTATAAGCTACTCCCTACGTCCAGTGTGTCAGAGCCAACTTCGACCACGTTTTTATTTGAACGCTCGTTATATTACTCGCAATTTACTAGATATCGCTGGTGTCATTAACATTTCGAGATTATACTTAGTCAGTCCCGAGATCCGGGGAAGAAAGTCTTACAGAAATCAGCTCTTTAATCAACAAATCTAAGTTTAGACGAAAATCAACGTATTTTGCGGTAAGTATACACCTAGTTAATCTAATAACTCTAACTATAATCAGACTTAGAGTTAAACCAGACTTAAAATCAGTCAGTCCTTATGTTAAAGTTATTCTTTTTCAAGAATGAATGAGATTTCTAAACTTATTACTTAAATTGAACAAACTTTTATGTAATAAACTATGCAAATAAACTTTGAAAAGTAACAAAAATCTCTCTTAACATCGACTAAATAGGCGACTTTCATGTAACAATCTAGTAAGTAGGTAGTAAAGTAAGTTTCTTAGCAAAAAATATTTAAAAATAATATCAACTGCGGCAGAAAATCGACTGACGACCGCGAAAATTCAAAAATATAAAAATGAAGTATATCACCAAGTGAAATCCAGTGAAAATTGCTTGTCTATCATTTTAATTCAAAATACAAGAAGTTTTATTCCACGCAAGCATCGCAAGCCCGTTGAGTTAATTTATGCTGCTTGCTTGGGATAAAAGTTCTTGTATTTTATATTAAAATGATATGGAAGCAATTCTGTTGAGAGCACTGGCAGTAAGCGATTTGCTTCATGCGGTCTATTTTGTAACTTTTTAAAATTATGTCAATCCTAAAAATCTCGAGATCAGGAAAACTTAATCCCGAAAATTTCGGGAAAATCGGTCGGGATCCCGATTGTCGGGATGTGGCTCATACAGAACCTAGTTGTTTCGCGCAATATCAGCAGTTAGGTGTCTGTCTATGGGGTTATAAATTTTTTAAACATCTAGATTTCAAGTACCTATTGAATAATAATATTTGACTTCATTTTATAAGATATTCTAAAAAAATATATTTTGTTTAAGTCTTACACCTTTGCAATAAAGTAGAAAACCAAAATTCTAGTTTTTCTGTCTTGTCCTTATAATATATTATATGTATGTTCACTACTGATCTGCACTTGTCACTAATGTTGTATAAAAAATATGAGTTAATGACATATAATTTATGTCTTAATTGTTTCTACTTGAACAGATATTAAAAAAAATAATTATAAATAATGGGTTCTCCTTTGACGCATATTCTTGAACACAGAAACCCGTTTTTGGTTATTTTACAATATATGTCTATTATCTAGTTTAGTGTAACGTTTATTTACATAACCAGTCGCTATTAAGCATGTCGAAAGGTTTCCATTGGGTAGTACAAGAGTGCGTAGAAAAATTCCTAGGAAACTATGTTTTATGATGTAAATAAAAGAATAAAGTAAAGGAAATGTACAGTGACATTGGTTTTTATAATTTTTTACTAGGAATTTCATCTACGAATAACTTTTTAAGTCTATTCATGAGAAGTATAGTCCGGATATGGTTTTAGCATATTTCGAATTATTTTTGAAATAATGAACAATAAAAAGTTACAAGTACTTTTGTAATTTGTATCTAACTGAAATCTGCCATCAAAACGAACTACCTACATGATTTGATTTTGGATATTACCGAAAATGCATGGATAATAATTAATACTGGTTGTACGTATATCAGACGCAAAAACAAAAGGCAGTTTTATAATTTACAAAAGAAAACAATATAACCAGCATCCTTTAATAATAAAAATTGTATCCGCTTTTGAAGATTCTAATGCAAATTCGAGACAAATATTTAAGTAATTCAAACGACATTGTAGGGTTTCTAACTTTAATAGACTTTCAATTTTATGTTGAACTCAGAACTGAACTGATGTAGTTCTTGAAATATGGAAATTGAGGATTGAAATACTTTGCATCTGTGTCAATTTCTTGCCACAATATTATCGAACAGTACTTCTTTTGTTCTTTATACATTACTCTAACATTACTCTAACCCTTAATTGGCTGTTTCTAATTGTTTGATATTTTATGTCATCTTTTACGTCGCTTTTAAAAGTGCTAAAATTGTTGATATTAAACATCTATTGGAAATAAGAGCAAGATTTTTTTTAAGTACATGAAAGGAAATTACACTAAAAATCCTATGTATGCTTTGTGTAGAAATATATTTTATCTTTAAAATTTCTCATATTTTAACAAAAAAGCTCTCTTCATTTGGAATATATATAATTATACGTTAACGTGTTCCTTTTTGCTTAAATCCTGGTATCTCTTCCTATAGGTACCATCTGGGTCATATTTTTGAACAAGTTCGTTCCACCATTCTTTCCTGTTTTCAGCTAAAAATTTTATTGCTCTTCTGACTCCGCCCTTGTGTCTTTCTGAACATTTAGCGCACTCTGTTTCTAATGCCTCAGGTATGTGTTCTGAAATTGAAATATATCTGTTCAAAAAGGAAACAATCTGCAGATTGTTGATGATGAACATGTTCATAAGATAAACTACAAACTAGGTAACGTTCCTTTATTATTTACAACAGAATTTTAAACTGTAAAAAATGAAAAAAATCTGTGTTACCTACTATTTAGTAAAAAAACCTTTTATATTATTGCTCACATTCACCAAAATTATTATTTAGCTGTTCTTCTAATTCTTACTGTTTATTAAAATAAATAAAATGAAAATAAACAACAAAAAGACCTGCATTTAAAAATTTCCAAAACTTAATGGCAGCTCAGTTTGAAGTTATTAATCAATTTATTAATTTTGGATGCAATTTGATTTTTCGTCAATATATCCAATTATAACGTCAATAATATATTTTGTGGAATTCTTTTGTACTTTTCTTACTTAGTTGAATATTTCGACTACCCTGAAAAGAAACCTAAAACTTTTGATGGCGAAAACGGAAAAGTCTTGGAAAAGTTAACTTGCAAGGTGTTTACAACATTTATAGTGATATGTCAACAAACGTATATTTTCTTGTATAAAACTTTGTTCACAAAATCAACCTCTAGGCTAGTCCTATTAGCGCAAAAGTTTGTTCGTTTGAAATTTCTTTTTCTTTTCATTATGGAAGAAATACTCAATTAAACAAAAAAAAAATCGTCTGTGTATCCATAAGAGATACTTTACAAAATTAAAAAAAAGCTTCTACTTACTTTTTAATTCATTTGCGTCATTGGTACATTTTCCCCTGTCCAACAAGCAGTCAATATAATTTTTCAAAAGCCTCTCATTTTTCATTATGGCATCTAGATCTATATTATCATATTTACTCGTATATTCTTCACTCAACGCACCGGCAACTAAAGTAAAAACAAAAATTAGTGTAAGATGCATTTTTATGCTAATATTGCGACAAGTAACAACTTTGGTCTTAGTCGTCTATTTATACTGTTAATTTGATGGACGCTGGACCTGAAATGTGGGGATGAGGATAAATTTTCCAAAGTGGTTCATTGGATTGTTTGTACAATGTAATGTACCTAATTATGAATACAAGGTGTCCCAGTGTGACAATACCACTCTCACTGAGTCACAGGGTGTTGTTTAGAAAAAAATAATGACAACTTTCCTCATTAACTCAAAAACCCTTTCAGGGATTTAAGTAATTTTTGGGTGACGTGTACATCTATTAAAACTACATGGTGATTATTTCGATCTGACGCCAGGCTCGGCCTAGGTCAACTTGTCCTGAAGGTTGTGTCTTCATAACTTTTGCATATCCGTTTTATGTAATTTGATCAAGTTTTCCTGAATCTGCAATCAATTCTGAACAAAGACTGTGCTCTTGTTTCATAGCGCAAAAATAAACCGTTTTCGAGTAAAGTATCGACTGCATTAATTCGTAGAAAAATGCATGTAAAGATTTTAGTTGTTGTTATCTAGTAGGTACCTGTCAATATAAAAACCAGAGTTGTTTATCGTTGAGGTATAGTTTCCCACGCAGATGCGGTTCAATAAATACGAAGAAACTAAACAAGTTTTCTATGAATTATTTAATATTTGGTTACAAAAAATAAAATTGAAAATTATATAACAGGAACGAAATTATGTTAGCAAAATGACAATATTAAAAATAAAAATCGAAAACAATTATTTCAATAAATTCGAAATGTTGCCCATTTAAGTACTTCAGTGCATGTCCTACATTGTTTGACCAAGGAATTGTAAACCCTTCGCAAATCAACCGTTGCTTGAATTTGCTCGGTGGCTGCATTAATTTTTTGAAGTAAATCGTCTCTCGTGTTTCTGGAAAATGTAAATCGAGCTACGCAGATACCTATCTTCCGTTATGAGCAGGTGCTCCGTCTTGTTGGTAGTACATTTGATTTCGCAAAGTTAAAGGAACGTCATATAGTACGCCATCAACAATGTTTCCTAAAAAATCCTTGTATCTCTCTGAATTTAAACGGTCTACAATAATTTGAGCATGCAGAATGACTCTGTTGAAGATTCATCCCCAAATATTTATGGAGAGTCTACTTTGAACCGCTGAGGGACGTATCACATGCGGATTTTCACTGGACCAGAAATGAAATTTTTTTAAATTATGTATTTATACCATTTCTCGTAAACGTAGCTTCATCGCTCCACGATATATTTTTATAGAAATAATAATCACCAGGATGCAAAGTTTGTACTTTATGTAGGTGGTATGAGTGCAGTTCTTCTCGGTTTAAAATTCTCCAGATGCTGCTTCGTGGAACACCTACTTGTGTTGATATTCTTCGGTCGCTGGTGGAAGGATCATCAACAACAGCAGCTATTACATTTTCTTCTAAAATGTTTGCATCTTCCAAATTATCTCTTATTGTGGTATTTCCAATTTTAACACTCCCGGTCTCACGGACTCTTTGGAAAACTCGTTGAAATACGTGTCATGAGGCCGCCAACGAATTTCCATCACAGAAACTGTAGTAGACAAATATCATATCGGCATATTCATTGTTGGAAAAATCCGTAATACCTACTTAATATCTTCTTGTTTTGTAAACTTAATTTCTCGTAACATCGAGTACTGTCATTAATTTTGACATGTACACTTGTATAAAACTTTTTTTTATAATGACAGGTAACTACTAGATAAGAACAAAGTAAATCTTTACATGTATTTTTCTACGAATTAATGCAGTCGATACTGAGAGTGCATGGCAGAAAAATATTTTACAAGAATTTTAATCTTATTTTGCTCTGGTCTACCCCTGTTAAATTTTTGTACGCTCACACTGGGACACCCGTACCTATATTCCTTAACCAAATACAGGATGTGTACCACTCGACATTCCTACTTCTAAAATGTATTTAATGTCGGTGTTAGCCATAGGCGGAGGACAGTGAAGGGTTCGATTTGGTATAGAAATACTTTTCCACTCTCCGTATTTGTGGATGGCGTAGCTGTGAGAAGGAACTTTTCGATTTCTAAAAAAGAATGGGTTCATCTATTTTACAAACTAAAATTATTTGTCTTGGTTAATATTACAGCTATCGACTTGATTTTATTACCATACACTTAGGTAATTAAGTGCTCGCGGAAAATGTAAAAAAAAAACAAGTTATAAATTAAATATTACTGAATGAACCCATTGGATGAATCATATTATATGGAGAGTTAGATTTTGGATAATTTTTCCACGTTTACTTATTACAGATAGAAACATAGTGTTGAACTGTCCTCCGCCTATGCTGAATACCCACTTAACATACAGTTGAAAGTTTCCAACAAAACGCCATTGCACTCCCTGTATTTTAATTAAAAAATAGTTGCAAGGTTAACAAAATTTTAACTTCTTTTACGTAATTTAATTATTATTACTATACGGCTTTTGTTTTATTTAATAGCTCTACTAGCACAATTAGGTACTTACAATGTGGCAAGATACATATTTAAATTTTCGGACTAAGATATAAATTTTATTCTAAACGATATTCAAAATTGACAAATTAGCTAGTTTTAATATACCTACTTAACCTACATATTTCAAATGACATTCTAAAATCATTTTTCAAAATTACAGCCACTGTTAATATTATGCTAAATATCGATATGTATGCCAATAAATGAATTTGAATCAAATTTGCAACTTGCAACTAAAGACAGGTCTTACTACTTTTATGTAAAGAGTGTGCCACTCAGTTTGTATGTAGTACCTTAAAAAAATACTAAATGACACCATATCTCGTAAATTAAAAATTTATTAAAGTTAGTAAATTTTCCACATGCAAATTTTCATTAATAACATTAATTGTAGGTAACATGAGCTTGCAATAATAATCAATTTCATATATTCAAAATATACAAAATATGTATAACAACTGAAACAAAATTGAATGCATAGAAATTTACTTCAAAAATAAAAATACCTGATCCTTTTGTCACAAAGATTTATTTCATTAATATTTTAGGTTTTTGTCACAGGTGGCAAAATACCCAAAAATACAAAAACATTTACCATGTTATCAATTTTGAAAAAAAGTTTCTCTTATAATTTACGACCTTGTTTTATATTTTGTTGTTCCTAATTAAAATGTATGTGTGGTTATAAATGCATTGCGTAAAATATAAATTATTTATATTTCCTGTATATCACTGCAAAAGTATTCCCACCCCATATATGTACTATAATGAGCATTACCAAATTACTATAAATATGAGAAATTTGGTTAATTTTTTATCAAAGCATCATCAAATCTTGAGAATAACAGCAACTAACAGTGAAACAATGAAAGTGGTTTTATTTTTGACTGTTATTTTTGCAATTGAGTGCTTGTGTCAGAAATACACTACTAAATTCGACAATGTGGATCTGGATAACATTCTCAAAAACGAGAGACTACTAAGGAACTATATGAACTGTTTGCTGGATAAAGGAAAATGTTCTAGTGACGCCGCCGAATTAAAAAGTAAGTAATATTAGGAACAAAAAGACATTTCTCGTTGTTGGAATAAAACAAGTGTACCTTTTTTCTTTAATAGTCCAATATTTTTAATCAGAACAATTTATGATCAGTCTTAAATTAAAAATCATCTGTTATTTAATAATTAAAATTCATAAAATTAGATATGTGGAAATGTGGACTAAATATCTTGAAAAAATCTAATTTTTTGTTTTCGTATTTTCAGAGGTTATCCCTGAAGCTTTAGAAAACGAATGTGAAAAATGCTCTGAGAAACACAGAGATGGAGTCAAGAAGGTCATCAAATATTTAGTTGATAATAAGAGAGATTATTGGAATGAGCTGCTCGCTAAATACGATCCAGAAGGTAATTACAGAAAGAAATACGAAGAACTAAGTAAGAAAGAAGAAGTACAGATTTAAATAATATTTTTCACAATACAAATAATAACATATGTCGGTATCATGTATATATTAAGTATCTCTTAAAGTGTATCATTTAAGTACCACCATGTAGTTGTATAATGTACCTATATGTAAAATAGTTAAGTATCATACATTAAAAATATAGTCACAGTATACATATTACTATTTTAATTATTTTATAATCAAAACTGCTAAAAATAAAATGTAAGACTTAGTAACTTTTATTAAATTGCTTTAATAAAATACGTATAAATATGCAAATAATAATACAGGTTTGGAAAAATAACTAAATTCTCCTTCATATCTAATTTCTTAGTCGATGGAAATTATTGTTGGAACCATTTCCAGGCTGGTTGCCTCGTCAGCGGTTTAAACTTCCTGGCATTTGCAGAAAGTCTCTCTCCTCTGAAAAAGAGATATATGCCTCTCTAAAGCTCAATAAATCGAAATTGATAACATGGCAATCAGCCAAGAAATAATGGAGTAATAACGATAACGATAAAGTGTAGTCCATATTAATTGTTTGCAAATCAAATTCCACTTTTTGCAAACGAAACTATGAAAATATGTGTTGGTTTCTTCCAGGTAAGACAATTTAGGTGTTCCTCGATATACGTTTATCGGTTTATTCCTTGAATTATATTTATCGATAGTGTCGATACTATTAGTCCAGTTACTAAGGGTTTTTACCTCCGAATTCTTTATAACTGAACCGATTGATGTAAAATTTTGACTGAATGTGGGGAATGCCTCAAGAAACAAAACTTATATAGTGCCGAAGTGTGCTTTTGCCCTGGGGGGTGGTTCCCACCCCTTCTTGAGGGTGGACATTTTTACGCCCAAAATAACCACAGAAATCGATAGAGGAGTTAGTTTTAAGTAACAAATGTTATATAAAGTTTTTTGGATAATCCAATGTTTTCCGAGTAATTCGTCATTGAAAATGATGATTTTTTACTGAGAAAGTTCTTGTTTTCGGACAGTTCTTTGCAAATAACTCTGAAACCATTGGATTTAACGAAAAAGTTGTAATGAACAAAAAGAAAGGTAATAAAAACAAATCTAATGGCATTATTTTGTTTTTCTCTAATTGCAATATAAACCGAGTTATGGATTTTTAAACATTATTATATGTTAGCTAAAAACTAAATTGGAACCAGTTAACGTTAAATAACGCCAAAACCATAAATATTAGGAAAAAAACTATTTGAACCTTTTTTAAAGTACTTTGAAAAACCTTTAAAATTAGCTGTTTTAAAAGTCTTTAGAATCAAAATTAACGGAAATATGATCGAAATAACATGATAGCCTCATTTTTTTTAAGAAAAAATTAATAAACAAATCAGTGCCTTTGGCGACAGAATTAAAATCAAATGTAATCCATTTACAGATTTTTTCATTTACGTTTTAAAAATATGTTCTGGGTCTTTGGCTCACTTACAAAGAAGCATGATTTCGAAAAAAAACTTAATTTTTGAAAATGTTAATTTTTCAAATTTAAAAAAAAATCGATTTTTACGCTGCAAATTAAAAATTAAAAGGTGTATGACAAAAATACAAGAGTAACAAAATTTAGCTTTATTTTTGCTGAAGATTTTAATTTTTTATTTCTCTAAAATTAATATTAATCGAGATATTGCCATTTTAAGTTATCATATGAATGAGAAAACCACCCTTTTCGAGCCCTTTAAACCTTTCAAACTTAAAAATGAAGGGCTTAAAAAAATCAACAGTTCACGTAGCCCTTACAATTTCCTGCAAAATGAGCCTTTGTGCAATTAAAAATTTTAAAAATAAGAAAGTTATCGTCAAAAAAATAAACACGTGTATAGGTGATAATTTTAAGAAAATTTAGGTCAAACAAGAATTTTGAAGCATTTAGATCTTTTTATATATGTACGTATTTCGACACTTGGATATACGTAATTTGACATGTGGAACATGATCCGGCGACAACTGCCTAAATTCTCCTCCAATCATCGAAGAGGACGAGCATGATTGTGAAGAGAATAGCAGTGACGACGAATAAGAATCATTTACATATAATTATGTTTTTTTTGTATTCATTATTATTAAAAAGGAAAATAAAAATTTATAAAATAATCATAATTTTGTGTGTGTATAACATACATAAATGTAAGGGGTTTAAGGGTTGAAAAGTTGCAATCAATTCAGAATTATTTTATAAGAAGGGAATAAATGCACATTTAAAATGTTTCTACTCTTTCAATAATATTTTTTCATTTTATTTTCGAAAGAAGGAGTATTTTTCAAGGGTTGAAAGGTTGCAATCAATAAAAAAGATTGTTTAATCAAGAAATCAGTTTTAATTTGACAAAAATGCATGATTAAAACGTTTTAAGTTGAAAAAAAAAATGTTTATATTATTTTCATCCAAAGGAGTGGTTTATAAAGGTTTTTCCGGGTTGAAAATTTGAGATACATTAAATTTCATGTTAAATACCACATAAAATTACTCATACTGCATAAATAAAAAAGATTTGATTACATAAAATGCTTAAATTTGTATTTTTTCTTTTTTCCAATAAGGGGTGGTTTTCACCCCTTAAGAACAAAAAACACACCTAGTGCATATATAAGGTTTGAAGTGGGGGGTAAGACGAGCCTAATTCTAAATTTTGACAAAAATCGATGCATAAAAAATTCGGAGGTATTACTATATTTTCAGCTACAGTAACTGGGCTATATGAATGTTTCAATTTGGGACTGTAGTTCTGTCATTCTATTACTACTTATTAAATTTAAATTAAATTGTAATGAAGAGAAGCTGATAAAACGGGGATTTAAATATATTAAAAGGTTCCACTGGAGATTGTAACATCTTTAGAGTTCTTTGAGGTTTTCTTCGATGTGTTCTTTTCTTCAAAAGATGAAACGAGCATAAATGCTTAATTAGAAGGAAAATATTAAATTCTGCAATATAATAATTATAATAATTAACGTATACATTATACCTATAATAGTCATAAATATCATTTAGCCTTAAGTAGAAATTGAAGAACCCTAAGAAAATATCTGCTTTGATAGACTCCAGAAATGTTACGATGATGTCACAATAAAAAATATTTTGAATAGGAGCTCATTAGGGTATAAAAAGTGTTTTACTTTATTTTTAATATGTTATAATACCATTCTCTTATAGTCCGAGAGCCCAAGGCACATTTTAGTGACCAATAGTGCCACGGTTGATTTTCATCCATATGAAAGGACTTTTATGGTATATAAGCGAATCGATCTTTAACTGCCGCTCTTCGGATGGAGGTGGGCGTAATAGGTCCACCCCCGCGTTGAAAAATATCGAAGAAAATTAATAGTACCAAAGCTGAAATTGTTTGTATACTTTGTTTATAACAATAAATGATAAAACTTCACATTTAGCTGAGAAAATGTCGGTGGAAAACGCTTCAATTGCAAAAATAACGGTCAAAAATAAAACTGCTTTCATTATTTCACTGTTATTCTCAAGATTTGATGATGATTTGATAAAAAATTTAAAAAAAAATCTCATATTTATAGTAAATTTGGTAATGCGCATTGAAGTATATGGGGATGGGAATATTGTTCCAGTAATGTACAGGAAATATAAATAATTTATATTTTATACAATTTTGCAATTCGTTTATGATTAATTATGGCAACAAAATATGAAATAAGGTTGTAAATTACAATAGGAACCATTTGGTATTTTTTTCAAAATTGACATGGGTAATGGGTAATACGTTTTATTTACGTTATTGAATATTTTGTGAATGAAATAAAAATATTAATGAAACAAGTCCTTGCGCCAAAAGTAGAAAGTGAAATTTTATGCCACATAATTCTATTTCTACTTTTATATTTTGAAATATTAAATCAATTATTACTTACATGTTAATTACATTTAATTGATTATGTATTATTTATGTAAAGAAAGGGTAAATAATTATACAACTAATAAGGAATGAAAGTAATATTATATATTATAACATAATGTACCCTTACTTTCATCTTTGATTTTCGTTAAGTTAATCCAACTGATAATAATTGTTTTATTCTGTTGAATTTTCAAAACATTCATCAATCTAAATGAAAAAAGCATTACAGATTTAATAGTATATTAAATACAGGGTAGCTCATCGAAAACGTACCGCAAGGCATTACAGGGTAGTAAAGAACTTTTCGGCAAAATTACGGTACGTTTTCGATGGGCTGCCCTGTATAGGCACATATTCCAATATGTCAAAAATTAAATCAATTATTTTTTGGAACTCATTTTAGTTTTAGATTGAACTGGTGTGTAGGAAACAAAATCAAAAAAATAGAATCATAGAATGTGTGGGAAGTTAAAATATTTTCTTGAGCGAAATCAGTCATAAATCAATTTTTCTAAAAATATCAACCAAAATATATCTACTAGGACTTATTCATTTTCATTTCGCGAAGTAGAAAAAGAATTATTTCCTCGTAGGCTATTGACTATATCCAAAAAACAGGGTTAAAAAGAACTATGACATTCGAACAATTTTATTGCATGAATCGTTCAAAGGGTCATTGTAGATGAAAAAACCGCGGAGTGCTATTAAATTAGAGGGTGGAAAATGAAGATAGGGATTGAATCAAAATTTCCCTATATTTCATAGGAAAAATTATTTAGCGAATTGAATTTCCCATCGAAATGGCTTATTTAAAAAATTTAAAGGAAAATTTTATGCAAAAAATCGTTAATAAACAATTTGAAAAAGAAGCAAAAAATTAAATTTTTTGCCTCTAGTTTTCTTTGAGTAAAGATAGGTATAGGCATTGCTTCATAGAAAAAAAATAGATAAAATTTCCGTCAAAACAATAGGTTGTTTTGGGATGAAAATTGACTGAAATATGGCCGCTCAAACTTACAATTAGCCAATTTTTCGATTTTCGTCGCGTTTACCATTAGGTATTCGTTTTAATTCTCGTATTTTGCAAAAAAGGAAGGAAAGAGTTTTCATCACATGAAGGGTCATAAAAATTAAAAAACCGCGGGGTGT